AGACTAAATGGTTCAAACAAAGGTTATCGATATGTATTATTTAAGAGGAAAACATGGCAGTATCGTCAGTAAGAACTGACCTACATAAGCTCGTTAGAGTATAAAAAACAAGATAAATGAGTTAAAATTTTTCTCCATCTTGATTGTGAAGAAAACGGTAACTGGTCACTAGTTCCAGTTACTAGGAACGGTAACTGGTCACCAGTTCCAGTTACTAGAAACGGTAACTGATCACCAGTTCCAGTTACTAGGAACGGTAACTGATCACCAGTTCCAGTTACTAGGAACGGTAACTGATCACCAGTTCCAGTTACTAGAAACGGTAACTGGAACTGTCCCACCTCTAGTTCTAGTAATACTGTAACTTTTAACTTACTTAATTAACGTATGTTTGAATTGTGAAAAACTAAAAAAATAAGAAAGAAAAGTGAAGCTAACGCACTGAAGTAGACGCCATATTTTGTAAGAAAAAACGCCGATTAATTTGTCAAAAGTATCTCTTCATTTTAACACTTTTTGGTTTCGTATACTACATACATCAGAAGAGTACTTATAGTTTCCTGTTATGTTTTTTTGTTTACCTTGTCAGTTACACTAGAATATTAAAAGCGTGCAAACTCTTTATCAAAGATTCTTAATTTATATATCTACTGAAAATGAAAAAATATATGAATTATAGTTAACGGTTCACATTATACCAAAGCAGTGAACAGTGAAAACGTTTTCCAGCCCTTTTTCACATAGTCTACATTTATCCTATAGGGTTGTGCATAACCTTTTGCTAGTACAGCTCGAATGACAAATGATATAAAAATGAATTATATACCAAATGAAAGCTCATCGAAAACGGGATTATCGAGTATAACTGGTAATCCATAGGTTGATTATGAGCTATAGAATTATGGAAGTTTCTAGCGGATGCGTCAGTTATGGGTATAGTAGTGCTTTCAGTAAAAGTCCTATAACTTCATTAGGACAAAAGCTTTTTCCATCGGGGTTGTTTTGATCAGAAATGATTGCTCTTCAAGACTATCTAACTGTAAAATCAAAACTTCGATCGTGTTTTCCGTTTTTTGCTTGAGCACATTGTTGAAAACGGGAGAAATTTTTGCTACTCGATAATCCCGTTTTCGATGAGCTTTCATTTGGTATATAATTCATTTTTATATCATTTGTCATTGGAGCTGTACCCCCTAGCAAAATGTTATGTACAACCCTGTACTTTCCGATATTTATCCTACTATAACGGAATTCAAAATTCTGCCTCTACTCCTACTTTTCCTGATTTTTGCTAATACAAACCCTGTAGCACTGAAATTAAATTGTTAAGTTTAAGTGATTAATTTAACTGTTTGTTTAGTTGTCTTTTCCACTAAATAATGTTAAAGTATCTCTTGATGTTTTAAAAATTCAAAAAACTAGTAGTATATATATTGAGAAATCGAATTAGAAATATTTTCCGTCCTTTCTCCTTAATACTAGGATTTATTAGATCGTGGATGACAGTTTGTATATATGGCACATATTTATTTTTAAACAATGAGCGAGCAAATAAACGAACGCTCTTTGCAAACAAAAAGCGACGAATATAATTACTTAGCGATACAAACAGAAATTAGAGGAAGTATCTCTAATGTAGAGTTAAAACGGAAATTGCTCTTTGAAGCAGGTAGCTCGAGATTATAAATACGTGCATATGCAATAGTCGTGATTATGTTCAAATTCATATATGAACATTAGAAGGGTGATACTCTTGACTAGATAAGAGGCTATAAAAAAAAAAGAAAGAAACCCTGCTCATTTTGCTATTGATGTTTTTAAATCTTTTGGATGATGTTGAGAATAGTATTGTTGTATTTGAAATAATTGTTGCTGTTGTTGAGCATCAAGAAATGGACTCCAAAATGGGATAAGTAGAGGATGTAACGATTGCGAAGAATTTTGAGCAAATAAATTATACAAGACAGGTGGAAATGATGTTGGTAACTGCTGCTGCTGTTGTTGTTGTAAAGAGATGCTATTTGTTAATAAATGCGTTTGTGATTTATCCGTTACATAATTTGGAATGTTTGATGAACTACGTTTTGACGGTGATGAAATATTGTCGGTTACCGGTCGTTTTTTAATGTTTGAAGAAAGATTCAATGGTTCATTTGAAATTTTCTCGGAAATAGGTTTCGTTTTTAGCTGTTTTTTTCCCTGTTTGCGATTCGGCGTTGTGATAGATAGATCAAGTGGATTATCATGGATAAGTGTGGATATCGAAGATGTTTTTGTACGACAATGAGCTGGTGGTGGCTGTAAAGAGAAAATCAAACAAATAAGTTGGTTTGCTATGTAAGTATGAAGTTTGATTTACTAACCGTTTTCAGTTTTAATTCACCTGGTTCATTATCAAACATTTTCTTCAGTGTTGAATAAAAGTCTGGTTCGATACTGTTCAAATTTGATTCATCTAGTAATTGATGATTATCTGATGCTAAAAGCAATAAAAATATACAAAATTTATTGGAATTAAATGTTTGACAAACTAGTTTACTTGTGCTATTATTCTCTAATTCATTTCCGTTGGTTACATCTCCGTTTACTGATTTATTATTACAGGGTGAAAATTTATATTTTTTAACACAAGAATCACAACGACAATCTCCACGATGGCGAATATTACCCGATCGTGGCGATGAACCAACAGATCCTGAGGATGGTGATGAAACATTAGCATGCTAAAATAAGAAATAGTTAAGTTACAATAATATAACTGAATATATTTAGAATGAAATATATACTTCAGATTTCGCTGAGTTTTCATCATCACTATCATAGAAATCAGAATCGATCTCTACAAAAATAAAGAAACAATTATAACATTATGGTATTCACCAGTTAATCAAAATCGATCGCTTACCATTAATCGTTCCATCTGGATTAATCACAATTCGACGATTTGAACGTACAATTCGATTAATAGAGGAGACGCTTGGCAATTTATCAGCAGAACATATTCCTTCTTTTTGTAAACTTTCTCGTATTTGCCATGCAAATATTTGAGGATTATTTACTTTATATTCTCTTATGCGACCAACAACTTCAGGTGTAGCCACTTTAGGCTTCGAACCACCAATAAGACCGGGAGCTGTGGTACCAAATAAACGAAATCTAAATTAAACATATCTTTCGTGTTTAAAAGTAATATAAAATAATTTGTTTAGTTAAGGCATTCAATGACTATTAATAATGTGCTTAATAGGAGAGTAGTAAATGTGCAGTGGTTAGTATACGATAAGTTGTCTGTCAATAAGATCCGAAAAAATGAAACCGCTTAATAACTGTTAGCTGTCTGTAATTGTAGAACATATTCATTCATTATTTCTCTTGACAAATGGTAATTCAAGTTCTCAGCTTAGATTATCACGGGAAAAAAATCTAATTGGGATCATGCGTCTGCCAGTTATTATTATTTCCAACACCATGTTATTTTTGAGCAAAGTACCTGACATAAATATTTGTTTTTTTCTAAAAGATTTAATTTTTTATCATCTTATAGTCAATTTTAAAAGAAAGTCGTTATGAATAAATGAAACATACCTTTTTAATATTTTTGAAACACATCCATGACTAACTGATAACTAAAAATTTAATAATGATATGAGAAACATTTACTTGTTAAATAAACATACATTATGTCGGATATACAAACCTGTCGACTTATTTCACAGGGTCTCACACCCTTTTCAGCTAATTTTACAATTCGTTCACGTGTATCAGTTGGTAATGGTCTTCCATTGATAAATTCACCCCCCAATTGATTAACTGACGATGAACAGAGTCGATTTTTGTCTAAATAAAGAAATGATAAATATGAGTTAATCATAATTAAGATACAATTGAAACTGACATACTTTCAAACTATTGCGCTTCTGAAAGTCTTATATTTCTGTATATGTGACTTGTTTGAGGTCACAAACATAGCAAGCGAACTTAGTTGGGGCACTAATGAAGTGAGTGTACCAAAACATGCTGTATAACGAATAAGAATCTCTCGATAGCCAAGAGGAAAAATAAAGATGAAGAGAGAACAAGTATTAGAAACTTAACTTAAAAGTTTATTATAGTACAAAAATAGATGTATAAAGAGCGCAACTTAACAATTAAGTGCTTGTAGAAGAGAAAATTCATAAAGCAGTTCACATTAAAATCAGTGAAGAGGAAAAAAAATTAGAATTCATTTTATTATTATATTTTAAGTGAAGGGTAATATTGTCAGCCTCAATAAAAACGTAAATAAATCTTGAAATTTCTATTTGTCCACCGATCTGAAGCTATAATTAAAGTAGAAGAAAGTCCATTCCGATCAATCTCCTATATCTGGTTCGTCCTGCGAAAGAATATAGAATAATTACATGATGTTCTATGAGCAACGATAGTTTCACCAGATTAATGGATCACTTTTTATTTATATACATGAATCTGCTCGCAGACCACTGTTTGGTAGTGTGCGCTTGCTGCCTCATAAGAATTAGAAAATTCACTTTTCGATGTATCATCATTACTAAACGATTAAATGGGAAAAGAACTATAATCAATTATACAAAATTCTTCCCATGTTTGGTTTGCCGATTTTTGAAGATACGACCACTTTGAGAATAATGGATGTGTCAAATCCGGAAATAGTCTGCTAATGCGTCTCGAAGACATTACTAATCTTCTAGGATCTAGCAGGGAAAAGACAAAACATAAGAAGGAAACAATTATTAGAAAAAAGTCCCTCCAGATTCGTCTGAAGAAGTATAAGCTAGTTTTCTGTAAAGTTCTGTTGTGAAATAACTGGAAATTTTTTTGACAGGAAGATGCAGTAGGAACTTCTTACGTCTTCTTTCTAACTCCGTCACCGTTCTTCTATCCATTAACTACCCAATTAATAAACCGCCCATTCAGATGATGAAAGTGACTACAAAAAGGATATGATAATATGTGACGTTAATGATATCAATGATTTAAAACGTTGTCAAACACGAGGAAAGGCATCTTCAGTGATGCTTTACTATTGTGATGAAATAGGTAGAGCAAACGGAGGAGTTCGAGTTTCTGCATCAAGTGATATGGATTTTGCAACTACTATCACAAACAGATGAATAGACATGTGAATAATAAGAATTAAAGTTAATTCAGTATGCTTTTAAATTTGACGACGAACTAGTTTTTGATAATGTGCTTCCAATGTTGTATACCAAATGATTCGTGACAACATGTGACAAATTTGATGTAAAACTAAAATTTGATTGTTTTGTCGCTGGTATTGTAAAGTCGGTTTTGAACGAAATAACGTTATAGTATTAAAATAGGTAGTTTGTCGTTTGTGTAGTTTTGTACAGAATATTTATGGATCATCTATAACAATAAACGATAACTTCTTTATAAGCTGTCGAACGAATAGAGGTGAGTATGTACAACGCTGCTTGTAAATTCGATGAAAGAAGGGAAGTAGTACATATATTTATTAACAATGATTTCCAGTCATAAAACGAGTTATAAAATAAATTTTCGTATGGATAATTGTTCTACTACGTTGACCATCATTTATATTTGTCACCAATCTAATAATGACGAATTGGTTTTAATAACAAATGAATCGTTCTAAGTTGCTGTGATCTATACAGCGGGTGTTGCTAATGAATAATGCGAACCGACTGGTGCGAATTTGCGTAAATTTGTTTAGTTGAATTCATTGACGAAATCAAGGGTGCAACGGTAGTAGTATTTTGTGATCTGCGAGTAGAGAGAGGATCGATACTTCGGGAAGGAATATTTTCCAGTAAAATACAATATGTTCGACGGTTGGAGATGGAAGAAAAATCCTCTAGTCTGACGGAGTGAGCTCACAAGTTTTCGACATTTTATTGTTGAAAACGAATTGTTAGAAGAACAAACTATGACAAATGAGAATTGGCTTTAAGACGAGTTTATTCTTAATTCTGATTACTATCACATTTTGAATATGGCACAGTTGTTTTCGAAATTAGATTCCGTTGAGCTGTTTTGGTTGCATATTTTGTTCTGTTCGTACATTAGGATCAGTTTCGACATGAAGGAAGAAAATTTTTTATACAATTGCACACTCGTTTTATTGAAACAATTTGGCTTTTGATAAAATAAAACTTTTACGTTAATGTATTTGATAATATATGTAGATGATATTCATTTATGAGACATTTCATTATTTAAATTCATTCAAATCAGACTGATCTAGAGTGTCAGACGCTATTACATTGTCTCTCATCTATAAATGCTAAAAGTGGTAATCACCCTCAAGAAAGACATGAGAAATTTTGCGCAGTTGCTAAACAACTAAGAAAACAAAACACATCTATCACAAAGACTAATATCATGAAGACAAAATCATGATATTAGTCTTTGTGTCTTCGTAGCACTGTGTGAAGAACACGCCGAATGCTCGAGAGAACAAAAATATATAACAGCTGACTTTAAATTGATAAAATTTTATCCCTCGAACTTAGCGATTTGTTAAATTACGAGTCCCGACTAACTCTGACATATGCAGGGTAATCAATGCTTGTTTTTTACACTGTATACACATAACAACTGTAACTGTTAGCCGATCTCGGTTATTCTTCTGAAGCAAAAAAACAAAGCTCTGCAAAATAGTTCCCAGTAGGAAATAAAATTCAAACAACGTGAAATATGTGTACTCCTGAAGTTTTTCTGTTCGAAATCATATATGCATATGGTTCTTTATTTATTGTATTGTTATGCATTTCTGTTCATTATATAGCTATGCATTACAAACTTTAAACTGTAAAATAACCGCATAATCAATCTATGAATAAACTCTTATCGTATGCAGAAAATTTGTACTATATATAATATATCAGCATTCTGAACTAAAGTACCATTATTACAAGTGAGGCAGGACCTGACCTCTCCCAGATTATGACGTTTCTACGTTTTTGAAGAGTTAACGGGCAAAGAACCGCTGTCTGTTTAGAGAAAGCTTTTGTAGTTACTACTGAACAATAGAAAGAAATCAGGCACGGAAACTATGCTTTGAGAAGATCTTTCATACGAGATTTCAAGATACAAAGACCTCTGTTGGATTTCAAAATTATCTTGAACCCATGATTCATATACCAGCCTTTGTACAATTCGTAACGACGGATTTAGCGGTGTATTGGGTTTCGGTTGATTCCTTGTGCTTCTTGAGATCGGAGTACCCCAACAAATTTGGTGCTGGATGAATCTGGCGTAAGAGCAACGGCCAGGGTTTCGTAACGAAGTGCAACGAAAGAATTGTTTATTCATATTCTTGTAGAGCGATGAGCGCTCTACAAATTTATTGTTTCATGGACTTCAGCAACTGGTTCTTGTAGAAGAAACAGGTGAATTTTGAAAGAAAATCGATCATATCCATATTACATGTATACAGTTAAAATGCTCGTAAAATCTAAACAAGATACAGAACCAAATTCTATTTTCGTCAGAAGCTGCTTGAGTATGAACTCTATCTACCATGTTAATTTGAAGGTCTGAATCCATCTGTGTCTAGGGAAAAGACTTTTTATTGGAAAAAAGTACCACATCATTAGATACTTTTCGGCTTGAACTTGACTTTTTTGTGCTCACTTTAGTTCATTAACAAATTTTAACATCATATTCGTAATCTACGGACAAAACTAGGTCGATCAAGGTATTATATATGCAGTCAAAGCACAAAAAAATTTCATAGCGTTAAGGATACTGAATGATGAGGGACCTGAACGAAGGCTATTTCTGTGACACATGAATATGATCGATTTTCTTTCAAAATTCACCTGTTTCTTCTACAAGAACCAGTTGCTGAAGTCCATGAAACAATAAATTTGTAGAGCGCTCATCGCTCTACAAGAATATGAATAAACAATTCTTTCGTTGCACTTCGTTACGAAACCCTGGCCGTTGCTCTTACGCCAGATTCATCCAGCATCAAATTTGTTGGAGTACTCCGATCTCAAGAAGCACAAGGAATCAACCGAAACCCAATACATCGCTAGATCCGTCGTTACAAATTATACAAAACCTGGTATATGAATCATGGGTTCAAGAGAATTTTGAAATCCGACAGGGCTCTTTTTGTTCAATATAGTTAAATCCTTTCATCTAGAGCTCTTTACCTATGCCGACTAATATTCTTTATGGCGCAATGATAGAAACTTACTAGCTGTGCCACCGTCCTCATTGTCCACTTTTTGTTGTTGTTCATCAATATTAGACGTTGTATGTGATTGTCCCCCACCAACGTCATTATCATCTTCTTCTTGTATTTCATGATTAATTCCTTCCACTTGCTGTTGTTGTTGTTGTTTTTGCTCATCATGAGTTTGATTATCATTATTATTTTGATCTTTTATCCAGTATGACGATGTTCTGTCATTTTCGTTTCTAATTAACATTTCCGGTGATAATTGTGGAGTGATATTTTGTTTATTTATCATATCATTACTACTAGTGGCTTGCATCATTGAAACGTCCGTTAGCGTTTCGGAAGTCGAATCATCATTAGTCATTGACGGTATGAGAATATATGCCATACTTAATAACCAACATTCTATCCTAATCAGTAATCATTGTCTAAAGTAAAAGAGATATTGAATAGAAACAACAATGGAATTTTACTTTGTATCAAAGATCCTCTTAAAATTCTCGTTTTGTAGTTCTGTTATTTCTATAATATTACAATCAATTGGAGGACAATAACAACAGTTAGATATAACAGTGATTAACCGTTTATTAATGAAATCAAAAACAAAAGAAAATGCAGAGGTATAATCTATCTATTATTCACATCATCATATCGGCATTTTTTTTCCTTCTCAAGCGTATAGAAAAATGCGTTTCGGTTGAATGGTTTAGATTTCTGAAAATTTCTTTTTTCTGCTTCTCCTCTATACATTTTGTTCCTATAAAGAAAAAGAAATTCCGTCACATACTCATAAACAGACACACACACACACACATACATTGAGAGTACCCATAATCAAACATGTATGTGTCGATGATTACCATGATTTGCCGAAAGACATTTTTTTTTTCAGAGAGAAAGATTTTATGCAGTCGCGGTCTCATTAACGATCGATTTGTTCACGCACGAGTTCTCTTCTAGAGTTATTATTATTATTATTATTCATGTGTGTATATATGTGTGTGTAGGTACATGTGCTGATAGAAGAAGAAAGGAGAAAAAATAGCAACAGTTCAGTTTTCTTATTCTTTTCTATCGTCATCATGTAAAACATTTATTAATCAAGTTCGATTCACAGATAGAATTATCGACAACAATCGTAATTTCAACAGATCACGAACTCAGTCAGTTCGACCATGTTCAGATGACCGTAACGATGAAAAAAATTAACGAAGCAGGCTAAATTATTTCCGATTAAAACCTTGTTATTTGTCTCAATGATGAGAAAATTCTCATTGGAAAAAAGAAGACTTCCTTTTCTATTTGCATAACCAACGACGATATTTTTCATTTCGTCTTATTATTCTAAATATGGCAGATAAACTATTCTCACAATTACTTTCATACCGTGGTTGAAAAGAGATTTGGTCCTGAGATAATTTGTTCCTATTATGTTTCTAAGTCTCTTTGATCAAAAGAGAATCATTAATTCTTATCAAAATACTTAAATGGAGTATTACTCGATATAGAGTAAAAATCGTCGGAAATGACTCTAGTCATTAAATTTAGTTCATTGTTTTCTGATCATGCTTATCACTTTTGTCATATATCAGTCTATATTTTTCGAATGTAAACTTTCTTTCAAAGAGATTTAAAGTGAAAAGTATTTTGTCCAAATTCTGACTTGATCTGTATTTACTCTCAAATGACACGTTTCATGACGAATGTTACATAACAAAAGGGATAAGCATGATCAGAAAACGATAAACTAAATTTAATGACTAGAGTCATTTCCGACGATTTTTACTCTATATCGAGTAATACTCCATTTAAGTATTTTGATAAGAATTAATGATTCTCTTTTAATCAAAGAGACTTAGAAACATAATAGGAACAAATTATCTCAGGATCAAATCTCTTTTCAACCACGGTATGAAAGTAATTGTGAGGATAGTAGAATCTATCTTCTATACGAGTAATTCATTGACATATATAGTAATAGCAGAAAAAGAAGAAGAAAAAGAACACCGAATTATTACATGTTTGAAAAATATTGTTCATCATGTGGAGTGAAAGATTCTCTTTACTCTCTTTTTTCTTTCGCTATTATAATATACGGTATTAACCTATATAGTACAGAGGGATTCTATTTTTTTGTTGTTTAGAATTTTTTGCAGAGATTTTCCATATATATTTGTTCTACATGATCGACACTCACACATCAAATTTAACAGCAAATCTATTGGTGATGATGATGATGATGGTTGTAAAAATAAAAAACAGAAAAATACAGTGTACGTACACCGAATAATTGTTCACGAAAATCCTCTATCATCTGAAAAAAGAAAAGAAAATAGAAAACAATAAATCACCTATTATCATTTCATCGAGTAGTCGACAACATCAGCATTTTAATTGAGCAAAAAAAAATTCAAAAGATTATTTCGACAGCACTCAAACAAATTTTCCATTAATTAAGAGGCATTGTTATATACAACAAATCGAAAGTTTCACACTGTGTGCTGATCCATATTTTCAATTTTATTCGGATTGAAGTTATGGAGAACGATAAATTATAGATGTATACTTTGCTTAAAAGCAACAACTTAAAGGCCTATTAAGTCGATCCAGCTAAATTAAGACTGCTGTATAAAACATACGGTACAAATACCGTCGATGAAAACCAAGGGCTATTCACCTTTTCACGCATCCAAAATAACTGAAAACTGTTTCACCGAAACCGAATAGCAATTTTAAAGTGGCTTCATACCAGTAAATGATATTTTCTATATGAACGTCTGATAAGAAGCACTTTTCACAAAACTGGACACGCATTAGATAGTGTCCATGTGATACTATGGTAACTAGTGGGTAGAGAGATAGGATCAAAAAGCCTTGCGTTCTGACGAACGCCTATATACATTCTCTCATAGATCTTTTTTACAAATGCTCAAGAGATACAAATATAAACATGAGTCACGCAATTATCGTCAACAATGTGAGTGGTTGTTAATATCCCAATTCACACATATATTTGTTAGTTGTATTGGTCCCCCACATGTAAATAAAGTGAGTATATATAAACGTGACACTTGGTTCTTTTAACTTAATCTGAAATGTCACTGATGTTTAACGAAGAATAACTAGTTCATCATTCGATGGAATGCGAATGGTTGATATGATTCATATGATGTTAATCCTTCTCTTACGTCAAAAAATATATGACGATGTGGGGAATTTGGATTAAGCATATACACATATGATCTTCAAAAACGTCGAGAGCTAAACATTTGTTTTGATATTCACCTATATCAAAGTATAATAAATTAGTTTCATTGATCTACAGACAATATATTAACTCAATTGAAAGAAAGGATATAGAATGCAAGCTGAGTTAGATATGCAACGATGCGCATGAAAAACAATTTTCTTTCTTGGAAAAAAGTAGAAGAAGTGATGAGAGATAAATCATGTAACCAGTATGTTCAGATGAATCTAGTGATTGCTCCTTTTTCATAATGGTTATACAAAATATGTCTAAATCGAGGAAATAGAAACACAGATCATAATTTACTTTTAGCTTCTCGCACACATATAAGCGACATCTCTGATAAGATAGGATGAAGTAAAGAACTGCTGTACTTTACTTCATCGTATCTTATCTTCTGTCTGCTGCTTTACCTTCGGGTTTTATGACATCTCTGATGTTCATCCTTTCTTTAGTCTGTCTCTATTTATATATATATATATATATATGTATAATATGTGTAAGGATTCATCCATCATCATACTTATCGATGCAAAATGAGAGCAACTCGGCATCATTCTCGAGCACGGCTTCTGTTTTGTTCCAATACTATCCAAAAAGCATAACCGAACTAATACCTGGTGTATATCATGGCAAGGTCAAAAAACCTGATAAGCAATACAATTTTGCCCAACGCACGATAAATTGAAATTTTTTTTTGAGAAACTCACACTGTCCATTTAATTCGAGATGAAAAGAAACGAGCGTTGATCCTATCAAAAAAGTTTGAATGAGCATAATTGAGCTCGCACTCGAATGCTTCATCCAGGAAACTGTGGACGACTGTGTTAGAAAGAAACTTGATAGTTCTACATAAATGTGCCATACTCAAAGAGATATACTACGAATCTCTTTTGTCGTACACACGATCAAAATTCGTTCTTCTCTTTCTCATGTTTTTTTTCTGTCAATTTTGACGAATAAATGAATACTACTAAATTTTCATGAGTGATGTCCTGAAGAGGAATTTACTAAAATACCTTCTTTTGTTTGTGTTCAACGCGATAGAATTCTTTTCTTCTATCTATATTGAAGATGGTCATGGATCTTTTATCATAAGTTAGTCTTGCGTAATTATCGTAAAAGTATAAAAAAACCAACTAAATATTCAAGTCCTTTTTTTTAATAACTAGACAAATAATTACTGTATGTTATACATATATGTATCTCTGTATTGAAGAAGTGTCATTTTCACGTTCAATCGGCGGAGATGGTGATTAGTTGCAAAATCTATTCATCAAAACATGAAATATAAAATCATGTACACAGACATGCATCATGGTTCTATCAATGACTTACTTTTTTTTCACTATCATGCACTCACTATTAGTCCTGTTATTCCATTTATACACTCTCTCTCCCTTTCTCTCTTTCTATCAGGGATATATCTTTAAATATCCTCTATATGCCTTTCTTTTCCGTTCTCGTTTGCTATTTTTTTTCTTCCGATAGTATTGAGTAGTGACAACGACGTTGATAATGGCACGGTCAGTGATGTGCGACAAATGAAATGCAATGATGCGCGAACATATATTGATGCCACTACTCTGCTTAAGAAAATATAATATATAATTTGTTCTGCATTCAAACAACAATAGACTTTAAACGCCAAGGTTACTTCTGTCACCTGAGTGGTAACACAGTCATGTGCGTTTTTTCTAAGCTTGTCACTCATCATAAATTCCCTCTCTAAGCGTTTTTTTTTATTACACAAAACAATCATAAAAAGTTAGTACTTTTAATTACTACACACAACTAAAATGTTTTTAGTATTTTTCTCAATATGTAGTAGAGTTAAGGTAAAGAGTAGAAAATAGGAGATATTTGAATGCAAATTGTTAAATACTATCTCTCTGCAGAACTCAAATCAATACAAAAATGACGTTTATACACCTGTATTTGTTTAAGATAATGTCATCGCTTTGAGAAAAATAAAAGAAATACGATGACTGTATACACAAACACGAACAGATTGGTCAACTATATTAGTTATTCTTTTTTAACTTTACTATGTGATGCTTGTGTGGCAGAATGGACGAGATGTTTTTAAAGTTTGCGGCTCAACTACTTATCTGTAT